TCTGGTTACAAGGAGAGCTAGCTCGTAGACCATTGAGCCACTGGGAGCCAATCCAATGGCCCAATGTTGCGTACTGTTGAAGAGTCACAAACTAGGACGAAATAATTGTCCAGTACTCCCAGGTTTTCCAGTGGTTCCCTAACTGATGTCAGCCAATGATGAGCTCCTCCATCCAATCAAACAAAATGCCTACAAAACGAATACTTGAAAATTTATCTATGATAGTAGAATCATAGGAATGAATCAGTTCGTGTAGGTCAAGCTTGCGTCCGAAAGTGAAATTAACAAGAAATTATTCGTTTTGTGACAGTCTAACTGAGAAGTAACCAGCATAGAAACAACAGTCAGTTCATCAGCATACCTAACAAAATTGGCTTCATCAAAATGGAGCAAGTCATTTAAGAAGAAAGAAATCTGAAAAGGAGAAAGAACGGAAATATTGATGAACACTATCTAGAGTAGATAAAGCATTGGAGGACTTCTCATTATGTTCAGTGTACCGTTTCCTATCAAAAAAATAGGAATGTGACTCAGCTAGCTTATTGAATGAAAGAGGCCTAAGAGGGGAGTTAAAGGCAGCAGATGTGTAGTCAAGAAGGTACACCGAACATACTCGACACTTTTGTTTAACTTAAAGACAATATTGCAATGTAAGATAACATTGGCGTCCAGCGTATACCTACTAGGTTTATGAGCAAATTGTTTGGGGTCATTAAAAGACTTCATTGAAGGTTCAAGGTTAAGCAAAAGCAGTTTTTTTCTATTTTTTTATAAAACTGGTGAGGTAACAGCAATAGGTTTAAAACAGGATTTTAATAGTACTCAGATCCAACTGTGATTATCATCACTACAGATGTTTACGTATTGAACTAATAAATATAAGGTCATTCAGTCGCAAGTTTATATATATATATATATATCGAAAGACTGGTCTTTGAGGACAATCAGCTCTAGCTAAGGTCATCACGAGTAGACTAAATTTAAGTGAATTATTGATTCAGAACTCTGATCAAAAGCCGCCCCACACTTCTGGGAGCTACATATAAAAGAATAGAAAAGAGATGACTGACTGAATGACTGAGTTTCAGTGTTGAACTTTGCAAAAGAAGTTCAGCAGTTCGTCATTTCGTCACACTTTATATAGAATACACAAGAGGTGAAAAGAATGAAAAGGATAAGAGTACTATAATGAGCAAAAACGTACGAGAAAAATGAACAGTAGCGTCGAAAAACATGACGATTTAATGGATCTGGGGGATTACAAAGAATGAATACATCTGCGCCACTGTACACAGTTCTAAGCAATTTAATTAAATTTTAGATTTTCCCGTCAATTGATTGGACGGAAGTGCTCGGTCTCAGGTTGACATGTCGGCTTCTTGTGCAGATGCTTCGACGATGTCTGGGCATGTCATTAGAATTTAATTTGTGGATGGTGACTTGCAGTAAGACCCAGGATGCGCATTTCGTCCTATTTGGGACTCGTGCGGCAGCTGGATGTGCCTGCATTTTCCAGTGAGTGATGATGTTCCCACCAAGGCTCGAACCCAGTGCCTATAGTTTCAAACGCCAAAGCGTTATCCACTAGACCACCACGAGATTCACCTCTTGTGCAATCGGCCCAAGTGGTCTAGTGGATAACGCTTTAGCGTTCGAAACTATGGACACTGGGTTCGAGCCTCGGTGGGAACATCATCACTCACTGGAAAATGCAGGCACATCCAGCTGCCGCACGAGTCCCAAATAGGAAGCGCGAATTGCGCATCCTCGATTCCACTGCTAGTCACCATCCACAAATTAAGTTCTAAGCAATATTACTAATAATCTCTACTCATTGGTTCCTAACACCTCGAGGATGCCAAATAGGAAGACCCAACGAAAACTTCTACCTTGACTTCATGGTTAGATGTTAGTATCAAAATGGGCCAATGAGCTACACTGGCTGAAAATAATGTTTCTGAAGATCTTGCTATATCACGATGGTCCTTGGATAGAGGTTAAACCAAAAGCAATCACCTTTACAGTGTAAGTTATTTACACTAAGTTGTAAGTCTGTGGACGAAGCTATAATATTAGAGAATAGGAAATATGACAGCAGTAAGGTGTTTCCCTCAGGTAACCAACATGTCAGTTATGCTGCCTGCCTGCTGTGGGGAGAAGGGATTTAGAAAAAGGTCATCCTGAAAGACTGTCTATTCTGATCTACCCTGCTGCGGTAAGATATTAATGCAGGCTCAACTCAAAAGACTAGTTCAAACAGGCTGCGTGTGATTAGCCTAAACGCAGTTTTCCACTGGGCTCTATGGTCACTCAGTACTAATTTTATTTCTGCTTCAGGTATTCGATGATGAAATCGAATTTCAAGGTATGAGCTGATGGGAAGTAAAGATTCGCCGATATTCTATCCGAAGCATACAGAGCTCTCCTAATCAACAGCTAGGCTCTCTAAACCATCTTACTTAGCTGAAACATTTTTCAAACCTTATCCTTCACCAGCTGATATTGCGCGTCAAAGAATACAGTGTCTCGGCATACACGTAATCAGGTATAGTGGCATTCACACTCACAAACTCAATAAAAAATAAGCTTTATCGGTTAAAGGATCAATCCTTTGGAGCCTTTAAGACAAAACAATTTAGTTTATCTAATACCCTGTCTGCAATGATTGTCAGGTCAAATACACAGGTCAAAGTAGTAGAAAGGGTGCAGTCAGACTAGCCAAGCATAACAACCTAGCAAAATCTAGATTAGTTGACTCAAATAAGATAAGAAATCTAGAGAATATTTCAGCTACAGCACTCACTACATGCAATTACACACAACCATACAATAGGATGGATGGGATGAGATGACAGTTTTAAAATCTAATATCATAAGGTGGAGGGAGAGATTGATAACAGAAGCTTTGTTTATCGAATCAACTGCAAACACATGTAGTAGGAATGATTCAACACCTATCCATCTAGACATCTGGAAAATTCTACTACCCCAACGACGATAAATAGGAGAGGACAAAGAAAACCATAAAACTCAAGTTTCGAAATTGTGTGATTATAATTGATAAGATGGTTATGAACAATAAATTTTGTTCGAAACTTCGTCATCCAGTAAATAGTACTGTTTCACTGTGTGATATATCCATCTAATAAACAAACTAATATGGAATTACTTACTACCACAGTGCCCAAGTTTTACACATATATTAATACACGTAATCACAAAATGAAATCAAAAGGTATGAGGACGTATTAGAGAAAGAATAACTAGATAAAGATCAGTGAGGATTTTTAGATACTGGAAGATCCTAAAGGATGACTACAATTCGCACCACACTAAGGATGACTTATAGCCACTTTACCCGCAGTTTGAAATCAGTGATTAATATACTGGCCAAAGTGGACGTCTTCTTCGACTCCGAGTTCCAGAATATAAACTAGATATCGAGTGACACGATATCTAGTCTCTCATATCAATACATGTTAGTAACTATGGGCACCAATTTGACCGGTAAAATGTAGAAATTTTAGACATTGGGGACCCCAAAGTGCAGGGGAATTCCTAGAGGGCTGGTACTCAGACATATCAGGCATCAACAGATATCTTATTATGTATCAAGTTTACCCACTAATAAAGAATAAGTCACACGACCAAAAGGTCAAAAGGATCTATAATAATGCAAATTAATAACCAATCATAACACAGATTGTCAGGAGAGACAATTACATCATTCATGGAGAATTCGAATAAGTTTGCGCTGAAGATGTATTGTCTAGAAGGGGGATAATGAAGGCTTCTCAATGAAAGCACAAATCAGCTCAGACAACACAACCACACCAAAATCACCTACTTGATCTACAATTTTTCTCCATCAGTTTATACACAATATGTCATATTATGTACTCAGTTGAATATTATTATATTATTACTTTTATAAAAACAATAATCGAGCAAAAAATATTCTTTCCGATGATTTCCTTTTCCGGCACTACAATTATATGTATGTTCATATAAATAGAATATTCTAGAATAGTAGTCAATAACAATATTAGTGTTTTCTAAATAATGTCGATTTGTAAAGTATGATCAGTGGAATTACAGTTCACTAAAGATGCTTAAATTCTAATAATAATAATAATAGAGATATAGTAGCAAATAGAATATGAATTAAAATTATGAAAATTCCACAAAAATTCGGGATCATTCAAACCTAGATAGCCAAGGTAAGGACGATGTTTGAACTAGCTTCTTCTGAAAGCATAAATAAGGATTCTTAATGTGGATCCCAACAGCCTCAGCAATATTTATTACTCGAACTCTTAAGGCGAAATTAAGATTTGTTGGTATGCGGTAAATGACTTTGAAAGCCACCTCGTTGACATCAATCTTGTGTTCTCTATCCACAATAAGGGACAGAATAGCGCTACGAATAGATTTTGTTTGTCCTTTACTTAACCACTTTTGTTATTTTTATTATTACCATTCCCTTGGGGTCCTGGTGGAACATTAAACTTCAGAAGCACATCTCAATATCACTGTGTTCTCTCCAGTCTTTTTCTACTTGTTTCCACGATTGTCCGCTTCCTCTACATACGATCTCATCCACGTGACAGTAGAACACATGCCCGACTCGTTGTGCCTATTCGGGTTCTATTTAATCAACTGAAACAAGACGATGCTCAACGGTGCATTCCAACATCGTTTGGGGATAACTCCTTGGCTGGTTCGCTGTCAGAATTCCTAGTTTACTAGTTCACTGCCTCCCTAACCTACTCTGAACCCAGGAAAGGAAGGAAGCTTGACCATTTAGCTAGCTTTCCTACCCCTGAAAAATAAATTCAATCACTACTTTGAGGCACAGAAACTTTAGCTGAATATTAACAATCTCATAAAAGGCTCTCGCTGTTAATCGATTCAAGCATGAAATTCACTGAAAAATTATGTCAAGTTTAATATATACATATATATACCTTTGAAGTTATAAATATCAAATTACAACTTACTCGGTTGGTATAATCGTTCTCTTCCAGGCGGTGGTTGATTTATGTGAACTACACGTTCACGTATAATCTCAAAATTTAGAGGCCTGAAAAGTTTTCATAAAAAATAACAATAATAATAATAATATTAGTCGTCATTCTCCGAATAGTATTGTCAAATTAATCATATATTGCAGTTTAATTCATATGGTAAATTGCCTTCTCTAGCTAGCTGTCTTGGATGGTTCAACCACGATTTCATAATCTTTAGCGTTTTTTTTGAGCGTCTCAACGAACTACTTAATGAACGAAATATTCCCATAGTGAGTCATAAGGAAAAGCATAAACAGCGAAGAAAATTTTCTTTTCGACGATTCATTTTCATGAGCTGTACAATCGTAATTATAATTAACAAAGAAATCTTTAGACCAATCAGATACTGGTAAATTTTGTCCTTGGAAAATTGTATTACATAATGTAAGGTGTAAGAAGGGATGACTAATTGTAAGTCAGAAAGGAGACTGAAGTTGGCATGACGTAATAAATGTGAGATAATGACTAATCAATAAGCTCGTGTAAAGTGGACAGGAACTAGTGGAAAGGCTATAAAGTGTTTTTATATAAAATATGTATGAAAAGCAATGTTATTAATAACCAGCAATAGAGTGGTAATAAAATATGGATGATGAGAACAATAATAATAATAATAAAGTATTGATAAAATAAAATAATAATAGTAATAATAGTGAACTTACATAATAAAGGAAAGAAGCAAAATTGTGGTGAGAACTTTACTCTGGCCATGGTAAGGCAAGAGAATGTATGTATCGCTTTTGGATGCAGAGGTCCGGTTTCAGATCCCGAATAGCTAATGCTTCAGCTATGTAGAGATGGCGTATCCGAAGTCCCTTTGTATGATATTGAGGGACTCTGTGTAACACTGTGAAGCATTTATGTGGGGGTGCTCGATGTCCAGAGATGACAAGGTGTTCGAGGATCGAGCTGTTGCTATTCTTCATTTCTCCTCTGGCTAACCAAGGTGGGCAGTGTTCCAGAATACATTTGTGGACTTGACGTTGCGTACGGCCAATATACTTTGCTCCACAAGAGCAAGTAAATTGATAAATACACATTGAGGTGGCCAAAAGCGGTATCTTGTCCTTAGCGTTAGACTGGGTTAGCTGTCTGCGGGAGAATGTGATACGTAGAGTGGCTGTTGGAAATGTCTTCTTCAGACATTTAGAACGGCGGTTTCTGAGAATTTCCGCTGCGACATCACCTTTGAATTCTAGGTTCATGAAGAGAGTCTTCTTAGGAACCGGGATCGCGATATGAAACCGGACCTCTGCATCCAAAAGCGATGCATACATTCTCTTGCCTTACCATGGCCAGAGTAAAGTTCTCACCACAATTTTGCTTCTTTCCTTTATTATGTAAGTTCACTATTATTACTATTATTATTTTATTTTATCAATACTTTTATTATCATTTTGTCCCCATCATCCACATTTTATTACCACTCTATTGCTGGATATTAATAACATTGCTTTTCATACATATTTTATATAAAAACACTTTATAGCCTTTCCACTAGTTCCTGTCCACTTTACACGAGCTTATTGATTAGTCATTATCTCACATTTATTACGTCATGCCAACTTCAGTCTCCTTTCTGACTTACAATTAGTCATCCCTTCTTACACCTTACATTATGTAATACAATTTTCCAAGGACAAAATTTACCAGTATCTGATTGGTCTAAAGATTTCTTTGTTAATTATAATTACGATTGTACAGCTCATGAAAATGAATCGTCGAAAAGAAAATTTTCTTCGCTGTTTGTGCCTTTTTCTTAGAACTACTTAATAATTCTGTTGAGTACTTCCCATTGACATGATCTGTTGACATGTTTAACCGCTGATTTACGTTATTTTGTTCATAATAATTGGAGTATATAAGCATCGAATGCTGAAAATACGAAAATTTGTGAGGAATTTTGCTTCAATTGAACAAAGTTCTGTGACTGACGGAACTCTGAAGAGGCCAATTCATAGAAAGCTGTTATGGAAAGCTCAACTGACGAATTTCTGTATCTGGGTACCCATTAGTCGAAAACGAAACCTCATTCGATCAACTGTCACTCACGTTCAATGCATATGTAGTTCTGATGCTGTGGAAGAAGAGTTTAGTCCTCTAAGAGGAATCCTAATAGAAAGTGGATTTCCGACACTTTTTAATAATAATAATAATTTTTGCTTTATTCCAAAAACAGTATTAATGATACAGCAAGGAATTTTCAGCATTCAGTACAGTATTGCATCTAATTTACTCAAAAATGACAACAACAATAGATAAACGGAATAATTAATACATAATAATGATAACAAGACGTTTTTATAGGAGCTATGTAGCAATTACAGTATAGGATAAGGAGAAAAATACGCATAAAATATAAAATTATAGTAATAATAGTAATAACAACTAAAATAAAAATAGCAAAGTTATAATTAAACGATAGAAAGGGTGACACCATAGAATTACAGAAAGATGAACAATGAAAGGGTCGATTCACTATGCTAATTACATAGTAACTTATATGTTTCACCTCTAACAGTGTCTTCATCACATAAAATACGGGCTAAATACGGTATTGTAGAATTTTTATACTTAGTGGTACGAGCATATAATTTCTTATATTGATTTCTCGTTCTACCTGATGAGATACAAGGGGATAATTGTGAATAAAGAGGGTGCAGAGGGTCTGACAGTACGGCCTTTGCCCAATTTGTACAGGAATTTACGTGTCTCTCGACTATTGTATTGGCGAGATCACGCAGTGGCAAACCACAAGCCCTACTCACAGCATTTAATACCCTTCGTAATACGGCATAGTCTTTTTTAAGAAGCCCAGGAAAGATTAATGCAGAACAATAAAGTATAATGGGTAAAATACAGGAGTTTAAAAATTGCAGAACTAAAGGTTGGCTGATACCTTGTTGTCTTAACTTTTTAATGTAGAAGGTAAGACGAAACATTTTCTTAGAGACCAATAAAATGTGAGATGACCATGAAAGGTCAGAGGAAAGAACTAATCCAAGGTATTTAATGCTTGATTTGGTTTCAATTTCTGTACCATCTATGCTACAGGAACCATGGGAACTAACTAGTTCATGCATGTCACGTCGATGGTTGAAGGTAAAGTTAACTGCCTGACATTTAGAAGGAATTGAAATAAGACTATTTGACTTAGACCACTTGCTGATGTCCAACAGAAAGCTATTAAGTTTGGAGCAGTCAGACTCAGAAGTGATAGGCAGTGATACAGCCAGATCATCAGCATATTTGACAAAATTGGTTTCGTTTAAATGTGGCAGGTCATGTAGGAAGAAAGAAAAAAGAAAGGGAGAGAGGACGGCACCTTGAGGAACACCGGCTTTTGTAAGCAAAGCAGAAGAAGATTTGCCATTATATGCAGTATACTGTATTCTATCAGAAAAATAAGAATGCAACCAACTCTTAGCCCAGGATGCTGTGTGCGTCAAGGAGAGCTTATTTAATAAAAGGCCCCTAGGTACAGAGTCAAACGCAGATTTGTAGTCTAGGAAAGCACCACGAACATATTTGGCACCTTTGTCTAAACAAGAAACAACGTTATGATATAAGGCAAGACCATAAATTCAAAACCTATGAAGTGTGACTTAACCTCTGTAACCAAGAAAATGTTGTTCATGAACCCAGAATTCAGAGATGACTTAGCTGCTGATATCCTTAAAACAAGGATCTCACAGTCCCTGAAAAGAACATTCGCTGCAGAATCGTTGGAAATAGCATTTTTCAGTCAACCACTAACTTTCAACAACCTAAAGGACAAGATCGCGCAGTTGATCAACTCTCTGTGCGTTTAACAGTTCACCTGCTCGTGCGGAGCTAGGTATATCGATCGTTCGACTCGGATTTTGTCCAAGGCGGTACAATAACACTATCCTATGTCGTAACCAAGAGGTGGGATAGAGGATATAAGAGGCGTTATCACTGAATGTCTGCTCGATACTGGTCACCCTATCTCCACAAACTCTTCGTTTAAAATTATCTGCAAGGCGGAAAATAACTTGCCTAAATTATTAAGTATCCGACTCATCTGTATTGCTGAGGCTTTGGCTATAAAGGTAGAGAAGCCAGATCGCTGTATGCAGAGAACGTTTGTTCAACCCCTCCAATTCTCATGTCCTTAATCCTTCTACGCTAATGTATGATAATCTCCATTCATACTTAGGTTCTTATTTTTCGTTTTGTTTATTCATTGTTTATGTCCTTCCCCTATTATGACGATTGTTACTATTATTCTTCTGACTTTCAACTATTTCCGGCATTGGTTGAAGGATTTCATCATGAGCTGATATCAGTTAGAGAGCCATTGGAAAACCTAAAAGTACTGGACAGCTTGTTCCATTGGATCGGGTCCCAGTGGCTTAATGGTCTACGAGCTAGCTTGTCTTGTAACCAGTAGGTCCTGGATTCGAACCTCCTGTGGTGGGTGCGTACTGATGAAGGGCCCCAAACCAGGATGAAACAGCTGTCCATTACTCCCTGCAGGTTTTCCAATGGTTCTCTAAATGATGTCAGCTCACGATGAAATCCTCCAACCCGTCAAACTAAATCCCTACAAAAACTGATACTTGAAAGTGTTTCCGGTATTATTCAACTTGTTCCACTTGTCATTCCAAATCAGGGAAATTTTTTTGTTTGCAATGTTAAATTCTATGTTATCGAATTTCATATCATTATATATAACGTCTTGATACGCCTACCAATCATAAAATTTCATCCCGCCCAACCAACATCTGTACATACTATGAACTATTCTGTGTATGAAAATATTTTGCTAACTGATATTTAACTATGATAATCATCACAAATATTTTAGTTGAATTTCATACTGCTATTATTATTTTATGTATTCGCACCTTTGTTTAAATTTCCTCACGAGATATAATTTCAAAAAACCATATATATGATATTATATAGTTGGATGCAATCAGCAGGAAGCCTTGCTTGACCTAGGTTTCGTGCTAGTTGTCACTCACTAGTCAGTCAGCAAGGTGTATCTGCAACCTTAAAGGAACTCATATCCCTTCTGAGATTCGAACACGCGTCACCCAGTGCTGCAGTCAGAGACGTTACCGCTGAGCCAGCTATTCGGGCTCGCGACTGACCTCCTGTAGAACTGTAGTGAGTATTTTGATTGGACACTAGTCAGTGATTAGTGTTACTTGTCTAGTCCTTTCTTTGGTGCAGACTGAATTCTATCAGTCGGGTTTGCAATGTGGCCACCATTCTATGTAGCTCTTCATCACAGTGTCATCAGTGGTAACGTCTCTGACTGCATTACTGGGTGACACAGGTTCGAATCTCAGAAGGGACATGTGTCTTAACTCCACAAATGCGAAAGTATGAAGGAGTAGAGCTATGGAATATTAAAGTACAAACACCAGCCCCGATCCTTATAATTCCAACTAAACAAGCACATCTAGATTGTATGCTGTAGGCCGAAGTCTGCCTCACGTATTTTATGCATCCCTAGAAAGATGATGGCTGGAGAAAATCAAATTCAGAAATACACTGGCATTCACAAATGGGATTAGAAAAAAGCACTAACAGCAAAAATCAAAACACAAAGTGTCACAGCTAATAATTCATATGGTGCATTTCACTATTTTATCACTTCTTACGAAAATAAATTAGTATCATGAAATTAGGACATCATAAATTATAATCGCGATTTTCAGATTTTGAACTGAATATCCAAATGGGACCATGAATCACGTTCAATAAATTTAAATGCCCATGTATTCAGTAACACGTGGAGTACATGTATTATATCAACTTACCATTTAATTGAATTTGCTTTGTGGAATACTGCAGTATCAGTATTCAATGGCCTAGGCTTACTGAGCTTGGCAGTTATTTTACCGTCATTTATCGAAGAATAGTAAATCTGTCTGCTTTTAAATACATCCTTAGGTTTTTCTTTGGATAAAATACTGTTATACACATAAAGGAACACCGTACTTAAGACTTCATTGATCCACTCTTCTTTTGAGATTGCAATTTTCTCTGCACAGTTCGAATCGTCATTGATAAAGTGAGTTTTAGGTGCCTCAGAAACCATTTCTGATCATGATTTCGTATACCCGCAGTTCTAAATTTCCCATCGACCTTGAGGTTACCAGATAAGTTTATGGTTAAAACATATTAATTTGAAAGTGTAAAGAGAAAAGCAGTGAGACGGTAGCTTTCAAAATGCTCGAAAAACAAAATATCAGGCTTTACTCGAGCTAACATTAGTCTTAGTTTGCGTTGTATGTTATGTATAATGCGATAATTCTTCAAATATCCAGTGTATTGGGCATCTCATGAGAGATTCACTTTGTCCTCAAAGCCGTTCAATCCAACATCCAAATGATAATGTGCACCCTTTAAATACTATGTGCGTTTTCTTCTCTAACTGAAAAATACTCATTTTATGAATTATCTGCTGAGGAAACCTGGTCTCCCTGGCCAGTGAGTTTAATTCAACCATTACTTCCACATTGAATCGCTCTTTGGCAACTGCATCTATCTTTAACTACTGGCAAAGCCTCAGGTGACGCTTTTGAAGTACCATCTTCTTCATTCAATCAGATGAAAAAGACATTTTGGTTTGCTACGTGGTTGTTATGACTTTTTCAATAGTCTAAACAGCTGAATAACAATGCAAACAATCAGAACAGGTTCGCAAAGTTGTAAAATTGGGAACCATTCACTAAGGTCGCTAACAGCATCGTCTGCCATCCCAAACTTCGTTTCCTGCTGATAAATATAGTCAACCAATGAACAGCTTGTACGTGGGTAAGTACGATGTCTGCGCGTGATTAAAAGTTATTTCAGAGACAACATCCTGAGACACTGCAAAATGGTTTAAGACGCAATTAATTTTAATGTATCAATGAAAGTATATTTACAAGACATATGCAGGTTGGACCTATAGAGTCCTTGAAATGATAATGTAAATTTGCAACGTATAATGTAACCATATTGGTCTTCCCATGCGAACTATGATGTTTTCGATGAAAATATAGCTTCCCTCAAACATTGTGTTGTTTTTTTAATCAGCACCAAGAGACTTTAAGAGAACGAAGAATATGAATGAAAACAGTATGTTTTGGCTCCATTAAAAGCCTAGACAGTTGGGATATAACAGAGTATAAAGTGCCTAGACAATAAATTGAGAAGTATATAAGTGATAGTGTGGTGAGAAGTGGCCTCAAAGACCTGAAAAATTAGAACATGGATGACATGCTGACTCGCAAGAGGGTGCACTAATCTGCGTAATGCCCGCAGGGTTGCACCTTAACAATAAGCTGAGCAAATCTGCAGATGTTATGGGCAAAAGTATGGTTTTTCATTCAGGTCTTTTCCGTTTGCTTAATCCTTTACCTTTTTAGTGGAACTTAGGGGCACGAGCTAAAGTCTTGAAGTTATAGTAACAGTGTGGTTTACTTTTAAGGGGTGGAGTAGCTAGCCTCGCGCCCAACTTCCCTTCCTTACTGGTCTCGTGAACCGGTTTAGCGAGGTTTAGTAGTGCATTGGCGGTGGATTGAACCCCAGACCACATGCGTGGTTGCCAAGCATTTCACCGCTGAACCACAGTCGTCATTGTTATTTTATCGTGAAAATCTAAACTCGTGTTCTGTTCTCGAGATGTCAAAACGCACGTTGCTGTCCTGCAGACGGCAGCGATCAACATTTGTGAACTCAACCATTTACGCTGATCAGCATTAGCCAGCCTTCCTCCGATGGCCTTAGCTACATGTAAGGGGTGATTCTGCGAGACGACACTGACTTTCGTCGGAATACGGCGTGTTAATCAAACGCTAATCCTTTTTCTTCATTGGGTGACACTGGTTCGAATTTCAGAGGGGAAATGAGTTCCTTCAAGGCTGCACATACTGCTGGCAGACTGTTGAGTGCCAACAAGCATGAATGTTGGGTCGAGGCTTACTGATGATCGTCTCCAACTATCTATTAATAATCAATTTTCATGTCCAATACCTTGATGTGCTCAAGCAGAAACGTAGCTTATTAGCTTTACGGTTCATGACAATACTTAAGGTGAAATACCAAGTCTGCTGGTGTGATTAGGTGACCTCAGTGCATCTCCTAATCCCATAGTAATGGGAACCACTCTCTTAATTTTCATCAGATGGCTGGGTGTAGAAAAGGGGAGGAGTCAAGTGTTTTACCTACTATTTATCGTGAGAGTGGCTGTGCAGCTACCAACGTGGAGTCATATGCTCGGGATGGTTTACTGGCGTTTCAAATGGATTGTGGGGAAAATCGGCCAGATAGCAATAGGGTCGGTTTGAGAGCACACGTGCCTTCAGCTATTAGTGCTATACACAACAAGCAATTTAAGTTTGAAAACGCCGAATGAGAATGTATAAAAGCTCCATACTATTGCTGTAAACGATAAGCTGTAATGACCGCGACACGAGGAATCAGTTATCAACTATGACAGATAATCCTAAATTATATTTTATGATGCAAATAATGTTATACTTAAAACTCTTGTTACAGTGAATAGGATACAGGTACCTGCAGATCGAAGAAAATTCGGGAACTCCACCTTCGTATTGAAATCTTGGTTCGAAAACATTTGCCAACGTATTAACCTTTTAGATGGTTAACATTCACTGTTTTGTGCTTTTTTAACTAAGTTGTATCATGGGTTCCCCGTTTTCTGCTTTCAAGACTAAATACCTTATTTTGGTTGCATGCACTGGCCCAAATAAATACACTGAGAGATAATGGCAATAGACAACCTATCTGCTTGGTTGCTGTATAGTTTACCCCATTTTATAAGGAGAGGAATTTTATGGCTTTGGCGATTCACTCGCTTCTTTAGGATTTCTGTGAGAGCACCTACTCTTGTGGTACTGGCTAGTGCGGGGCATTCTTCATTTCTCATACGCAAGTTATGAGCTTGCGAGACGGAGCTAAGAGTACTAAGTATTGATCCTAGTGTACTAAAGTCGTGTCGTCTGAAGTAACTTGTTGACAGTCTCTTCAGTTTTGAATGATCTTTTGGCTGAATAAATTGCTTCTTGATTTTTGAAACTTTTACTGTTTGCAATGGCATCACAGCGTCTAAGCATGTGTTTGATTTATAGTAAAAGATGTCTAGAGCTTTCGAGAGGTTATCAGTATAGAAGTACTCCATTCTGAGGATCTTAACATTGATTTCACTACAGTCCAGTCTGCCTTACTGTAGTTCCTGTATATTATTTGTTGTAAAGTAGGGGTATGGGTTACATTGCTACTTGACGGAAGTGGCAGTGCATACAGCACTGTTTTTGTGGTCGCTCCCTGGAAACTCAGAACCTACCAGGGTTGATAGGGGACGTATGTCGTGGCAGAAGATTAAGTCTAGTACGCTATTATCTCTTCTAGGGGTACTGACAGTTTGTTTCCAGCCAAGTATATCCAGTGTGCCTAAGAACTTATCATATTTGGCTGGGCCTGTAGGTATATCCCAGTTGATTTCTGGTAAGTTAAAGTCTCCATATAGGATCTTATGTTCATAGTGTAAGGTGGATAATTGCTCCAGAGTAATAATAAGTTGGGTCTCGTAATTACTAAAGGTGCCAGGTGCTCTGTAAGTGCATCCAATTAATACTATTGTGTTATTTAAGTGTAAGTTAACGCATAAAGTCTCAAGAATATTAAGTGTACTACTTTCTAGCCGTGATACAGTAAGTGTATTCAGAAAGTACATGAGACAACCCCCTTGTCAAGGAACTTAGCCCTTAGTTCCTATTGTAATGAAGACGTAGGCGATTGAACCGATAAATACTATGTATGTCCTTCAACTTTAAATCCAAAACACCAGTATTCCTTGAACGAAATTATATTGTTTGGCAATTAAAGTGAAGAAAACTACAAAGTTTTTATTCGTTTTTGTTCAAGTCTTCATTCAACTTGCAAGCGATCGAACCATTCGCGCCTTTGAATTGCCCACCAATGGCTGCCAGTTCCAATAAACAAACGTTCAATGTTCGCGTCCATTGACACCCCTGCCTTACCACCTTCCTTGTCACACCGAAAGCGTGTGTAGTTCTGTAAGCTTATCTCTTCATCCAGTATGTTCGAATGACACTAAGATTCAGTGATGACAATTATAGGGGGTTTGTATATTACTGTGAGTGCTCTGAGTATCGGTAGTTTATTTAGAACAGATCTAGCATTTATGAGAATCAGGTAAAGATGAGATATGAAATAGCATTTGAAGTATTTAAGTTCGTTAATCAGCTCCGAATATGGTTCAGCACCCAGTAGTACTGTTTGACATGAAGACCCTATGTTAAGAGGAGTTTCAACATCATGCTCACCTATGTCTATCGAGTTAGTGTGTGCTGTTTTCGGTGAAGAATTAAGCGCTGGAGTACTGGATTTGCTGATACTGTTGCTCTCTTATTCTTCTATAGTATAAGTTATAGTGATTGTTAATATGGCTGTTGAAAGCAGCCTTAGAAAAAGCACTAAAATACCACACTCTGTAGCCACGAGAGCATCAGCCTGAGGAGGCAATAACTCAGGGACATCAACCCCATCTCGCATACCGATTCTAAAGACTCGTGCACATCTCGCCTGTCCCGATACTAAGCCTACATTGCCACAGTCTAGCACTGAAACGGCACAGGCAGTACCAGGTGGACATGATACTACACCTGAAGCCATTGGAAGCCAGTGCGTGACACTCGGCAAAACAAAGAAACACTCAAGACGCCATAAGACCTCGAAAGCGTCATGTAGAAAAGGAGACAAGTGTGAGGCCTGTAGTGTTATCGTTTCTAAAACGGATTCAGCATTTGAATGCAATTTTTGCAAACGATGGGTACACTGCCGTTGTCACAAAGGGGCGCCAAAACCATATTATTAGTTTATGCAAGATAACCCGTGGTTCTGGTAAAACTGCCCACTTTGTCACCCTGACATAGTCTCACACATAGTGTCTGTGGATAGCAGAAGCAGCACACCACTCTTGTGTCTCAACACAGTCTCGCGCAGCTCTCTACCTGTTAACACCACACTACCAAAACTCGGTAAAAACTGTAGGAGGGATACTCAAGC